AGGCTTGCTCTGTCAAGGTCGAGGAAGCTTGCAAAGTAGTGGGTTCCTATGGCCACCATGTTGTTTTCATTCCTTTGATTCTGGTGCATACCATGGATTTGCACCCAAACTGCGAGCTTCTCCATCGGTAAATCTTCTGGCGTCCCTCTTCCACTGTATTTTTCGATTGCTGTCTGGGTGTTTGATAAGCTCCATGGTCTTTCTCTCCAGATCCTTTCTCTGACTTCAGCGTTGCTAAAGGTGAATATGAAGAGGTTTTGGGTGTTAGTTGGTTGAACGTTCACCTCTCCATATCCACCCCAGGCATAGCGGGCAGCTCCTGCAGCTTTGGCCAAAGCTACCTTGTTCTCAGTCAGCATCCTCCCCAGCAGCATAGAAATTCCTCGGCCCCCTGTTGTAGTCAGATTTGGGCGCCCACCTCTTCCTCTTGATGCCGATGCCATGATTCCACCGGCGTTCCTCTGCTCATTTCGGGCAATGTTGTTGGTATCCATTATCCACACAGATTGGTTTTTCAGTTTGAACAGGTTTGTGTTTTTGCCAGAGGTAGCGAGAAGAGCAAGAAGGCAGCAATTCTCTTTCTTTTTGAGAGCACTCTGTCTTCCTCTTCCTGTTCTCCCCTCTTTATGGACTTTGCTAGGTATTTGATTCTCGCTCCCCTCTTGATGGTGGTAGGTACCCTTCCTTTCCAAGCCTTCATTATTCTTCTGCTGACTGAGATTAATTCTGCTCTGTTTTCTCCTTCTTTTGACAGGGGCTCTTGGCTCAATGGGCTTCCTCCTCTGTACTCGAACAGTATAGTCTTGCTTATAGATCAGCTTTTTAGGCCCTCTTCCTTCTTCTACTCTTCTATTCTTCTTCTTCTTCTGACAGGAGAACCAAATCCACCACCATTTTGGTGGTTTCCAGACAGCCCCTTTCTCAGAATCAACAACAGAGTATCCCCTGTGTTGTCTAGTCTCTACCCGCTTCTTTGCTACTGGAGCATAGCAGTCTCTTTCCCCCTCTAGATTGACACTATACCGATAAAGATCTTTGCATACAGATGTGTGATACTCTTGTACGCTCACTGTTAGAGCCCAAATTGCATTTGTCCTTTTCCATTTATTGCCGTCATCTGGAGGTTTCCAAATCTCCCTCTTCTTTATACCATCTCTGCTTGCTTCTCCTTTTAGTCTAATCACTGCGGGAATCTTCCCTGCCTCTGGATATATGGTTATACTGCCATCTTTTTGAGAAACAGATGGTTGGGGAAGAGTATTGATGGGTGAATTGATCACCAAGAGAGTCTCTGCAAGAGCTGGAACAGTCCCAGAAAGGGGGACGGAAAAGGAACCGTTTTTTGGTTCAGAGAACGTTACCGTTAGAGAGAGAGAGGAGAGAGACATTAGGAAAAGCATAGGATAAGAATTCCATTCTCTTTTACTTTCTAATTAGTTGTGCTCTTGTGCTCAACTTAAAAAAAAAAGGCATTTGAGGCCTGAATTAATTTTGGCAAATTTTTCCTAATGGCATTTGCCGCTGTCCCATCCACTTTTACTTTCTAATTAGTTGTGCTCTTGTGCTCAACTTAAAAAAAAAAAGGCATTTGAGGCCTGAATTAATTTTGGCAAAATTTTCACTACAGTAATCTCGTAGGTTTTTGTTTATTTTTCCTAATTGAGTTCCAATCACTAGTTTGTTTTAGATTAAATAGGAGGATTTCTTAATCGGCTATTTCGATTGTTGGTTACATTAAAAGTCATTTCAGCCTATCGAAGATCGCATTGTTAACATTTAACCGATAAATAGATAATTGTTAGCAGTCAGTTATCGGTTAATTTTTCAGTGTAACTGCTAACTGACTAGTCGAATATCACCCCTACTTGGTATCTGCTAGAAAGGTCATGGTAATTTGATTGAGAAGTGGGAATTGTGTAAATAGAAATCTCGATCGCCGTTGGGAAGCGAAGGAAGAACAGTAAATAATAATTTTTTAAAATGAATGAAGCTCATTTGAAAGAAATGAGAGAATATTTTAGTTACTTGCAAGGACTGTAAATTCGTAGTGGAGGTTGTACTAGAAAAGTCAGGATATTATGTGATGATATCATGGTTTAATTGTGGTTCAACCGTTTCATACCACTAAAAATTCTCCCTATTTAGCCTATATTAGTAAGTTTTTTCAATCAAACTGCCTATACGATACTTAATGAGTGACATAAAAATATCTGAAATAATCTTTGCTTGCGCTTTCTACATTTTAGTTACGGGTGATAAATTTATCAAAGCTTAGGGACGTATCTGCAAAAACTGAAAACTAGGCCCCAGCCCCACTTAGACTCCATTAACTCCGTCAGTTTTTTTATGATGTGGCAAACAGAATTGCTGACTTCACTAACTTGTCAGGGCCGGTCGTCGTCGTCCAGAGCTCAAAACCACCTTCCCTGAACTTTCCTTCTCCTCGTTCCCAATCAGATCTTTCCCTGTAAATACAGATGGATTAAAACCAGCCCAGCCCAGCGAATCGAATCTCTCCAATCCCTTCCTTGACGAACCTATTAACCATCTGCTGCGCCATTTTCACGTCGACGCTGTCCCCTGCGACGAACATTGAGTCAAAATCGGCATGCTTGTTGAGCCAATTCTCAGATCCACCGCCAGAGGAATGGAAAGTGATCCATTTGTGCGGTCCATGAATCCTCGTAGCGATGGGGAGATGATTTTTGGGGGCTCTCCGGTGTTCGACGACGATGACATTGGCCTCGGTTACCAAGGTGTTGAGGTAATTGTGGTAGATTGGGAAAACAGAGGTGGGTCTTGAGGTGGAGGAAGAAGAAGAAGAAGAAGAACAGGAAGGGGAGTTGGGAGATTGGAGATGGAACTTGGAATGACCAGATGGAAGAGCGGAAGGAAGTTTGGGAGATTGGTGATGGGGATTGAGTTTCCCTAATTTGGAGTAGGCTATAGCTAAAGCCGAGGAAGAAGAAGAACTCAGAGAACGCCTATGTTTGGCCCGGCTTTTAGAAGTGCTTTTCGGCTTCAAAAGCTTAAGCAGGGCCAAACACCTCTAAAAGCTCGGCTTTTGAAAAGCCGAAAAGCGCTTTTGTATAACATAAAAGCAGAAGCTCCGATTTGGAGCTTCTGCGAAAAGCTGTTTTGAAAATACAAGATTATCCTTACCATATTTTAATTTTATTTCAGAAAATATAATTTTCCTTCATTTATATCATTTTAAAAATAAAATAAATTATAAAATCATATTATTTAATATAAAAGAAATCTAACAAGATCCATTTTGACTACTTTTTATTGTTTCGAATTTTTATTTATATTTTATATTATAAGTCCTTTATAGTCATTTTACACAACCGCTCATATTAAAAAGCACTTCTAATAGTTTTACAGCCAAACACTAAACTGCTTTTTTTGAAAAGTACTTATCTAAAAGCTCCAGCCAGAAGCTGCTTCTGCAAAAGCTACAGCAGGGCCAAACTAAGCTAACATAATTTTATTTTATTTTCATTTTATTAAATTGACTTGTCATTAAGTTAATGGTCCAGTCAGCGATTCTGTTTGCCAGGTCATCAAAAAACTGACGGAGTTAACGGAGTCTAACGGAGATTGACGGCCGATGACTAACGGTGAAAGGATTTGTAAAGTTAGTGGCGAATAAGAAAGAAAAGTTATTCAGATGGCAAACGTGAAATATTTATATAATTTGAGTGACCAAACGTGTAATTTAGCCAAAATTAAAGTCAAATACCAAGCTCTCAAATACAGACTATCCATATATAAAACACCATTTCTAGAAAATTCAAGCAAATCACAAATTAACTATACAAATTGTTCAACACCAGTCTAGAAAACTCAAGAAAAGTGAACACTAAAACCAGAATGTCTGCTAAAATAATGCTATATTGCTACGCCGACCTACAAATCGAACACTAAAACCAGAATGACTACTAAAATAATGCACGATTTCTTCAAGAACAGCACCCATCCGGTTATCTCTGGCGTCACCCCGGATTGATTTTGTCGATGATCACTTTGGCATCGCCTTCGAATATGATGTCCGTGAAGCCGAGCTCAAGATACCATAAAATGGCCTCCCGGAGCACAATCAACTCCACCACCATAGGATCATCAATCAACTCGAACTGAACCCCCTTAGCCATGAGGATCTCCCTAGCTAGCCGGGTTCAAAAGAACCATCTCGCCTGCCAAATGAGACCCACCCCTATTGACCCCATCCCACATACAAACAACCATATTAGCCCCCACTAGACTCAGTTGGTGTGTAGCATGTAGAATGGCCTGTGGAGCACGGGTAGTCGCAGATTGCAGTCAGTTTAAGTCGTTTGCTTATATGTTAAATAGAGTATGTGTGTCTATGTTCGTATCATACTTCTTCAATGAAATTGTCTATCGTTGGATTCTCGTATTGGTCTCAATATGACATGGTACAAAGCCAAGCAAAGATGATCAGAACTACCAGAGTGTAATCAGGAGACCATTCCATGTAAACCACTTCCTTCGCATTACCATGTGACAGACAGTTCATGCTTAATTAACATCAAGTTGAAGAAGAGGTCACCTACAAATAGCTGCAGTAGCTAGTAATATTCACACAAATCTAAAATTTTGCCACTTCAATGAATACCTCATCAAAATTCACTCCATACTCATCAAAGTGCCATATGGTTTGACCTGAAGCGCATAAACAAAAACTGCTTACTACCGAGTACTGAGACAGCAGAAGACGGCAAAATCTTGGTCGAAAGGAGGAGCTCGTGGCAAAAACTGTACCTTTACCGAGTTCTTTGTCTATTGAGAATTCCGTACTAAAAAAAATATCAACATCCCAAATATCTTCTGCACAAAAAGCTCATTCCTTTGTCACATTCCAAGTCCTCCTTGCTCCGAAAATTTATCAGCAGACCCAGTTCAATTTCAATTCACTTGAAAGTAAAAAAAAAATCCCAATTTCCCCTGCTATCTCTACTCCCCAAATCCCCCAAATGCATATGCTCCACTTCAACCCTAGCTCCCTCTTCTTCCCGTCAAAACCCACTTCCTTAACTCCTCTCTCGCCGGCCGGTCCCACTTCTCTCCGCTGCTTTGCAGTCGGAGGCGACGTCCCCGCCGGGCCAGACTTCCCCAGGTGGTTCCCCTTCATTTCTTCTTCTTCTGCTGCTGCTGATGCCGCCAGCATCCGGATTGGTAAAGACTCCGACGGCGGCGGAGGAGGAGTTGGTTACGGCTCCGGTGGAGTGGACGGCGGCTTGTCCCAGAGGCGGAGTAACGGCGGCCTGAGTGGAAGCAGGTTGAACGCGAGGGAGAAGAAATGGTCGAGGAATAGAGATAGCTACCTGGTGGATGATGAGGATGTGCTCCCTCTCCCCATGTCTTATCCCAATACTAAACCCGTCACTCCAGAGGAGATTGATAAGCGATTGAGATGTGACACTGAAATTGAGGCAAGTAAAGTTCCAAGAACATGTAAAGCTGAGAACTTTTATGTTTTAAGGCATAATAGGGTCAATGGGGTGTCAATGGTTCCAGTGTTTTGAGATGATTCCAGTCAGTGTCTTGAATTTAGAAGGAAAGGTTGAAGTGGAAGCTGATTAGCATTTTCTGAGTTCCGATTAGTTACCATGCTTCATGTGATGAGTTAAACGGCTTTTGTTTGTCTGGCCTTATGATTGTGCTTGGTTCATAGTGTTGTGGTGATGAAGATGTGAATTTCATTTCTGGAACTGTAGGATTGCAGGGAAGTGGTTTATGAATGGACTGGAAAGTGCAGGAGTTGCCAAGGGTCAGGGGATGTCAGTTATTTTAACAAGAGAGGGAAGGAGGTTATCTGCAAATGCGTGCCTTGCCAAGGGATCGGTACGTTTTCCTTCTCTACATGCTGCAGTACTGCAGCAATGAATGAATGAATGAATGAATGAATGAATGGTGGCTAGATGGTATACGAAATAAAGAGTAAATCCATGCGGCTTCTTTTTTGGTCGACAGGTTGGCTTGTGGTAGAATACTGGATATGAAAAATGTTTTTGTAGACCATCAGGGAGCTTATTGCATAACTGAATCAACTGATAACTATTCTTAGTGATTGTGGTTAAGAGGACAGCGGACCGGTTGTTGTAACTGGCTTAATTATCATATTGAAACAAGCAGTAGGCTCCTGAAATATGTAGGTGTGAAGTATTAGAATGCACTTCAAGCAGCTGGAAGAAATTATAGCATCAATTTGGCGATGTTGAATGGATGATTAGAGTTTCTAGTGCTGGAGACAAAATGAAGCATACTCATAATGCAAGTGATGGAGTAGAGATGCATAAGCATAATCAGTAATATTAGTAGTAATTAGTCGTGTAGCTATAGCATTATTAGAACCATTCTATAGTGATTAGGGTTAAGGGCTTTGCTATATCGAACAATTAAACCAAAGTACTATTCGGTTTAGCTCTCCTCTCCTCTTCTCAGTCTCTCTAATCCCTAATCATATTTTGTTCTTCCTGTTCTGATCCTTACTCCTTCCCAGTTGTCTTCCAACCCTTCTCAATTCTACTAATCTCAATCCCAGTTGTCTACTTCTCCTTTTCCCGATCCGTTACTTGTCAGCAAGCTCGTGATCTTTGTTGTACATCGTCTGTAACATATTCGCATTGAGCAGAAGCAATGAGCTTTGTCTATCTGAACAGGGACTGGAAGTACGATAATTGGGAGATGTTGCTGCCACATCTTGTATCTGACTTTCTAGTTTATCGAATTGCTCTGTTAAAATGAAAAATGTGAAGGCAAATGAATCATATTCTATTGCCAAAGGATGTAATAAGTGTCTCTTAGCACAAAGGATAGAGTCCCTTTCCACCTTTATATATACCTCAGGTCCACAAAGTTTGGCACCCATAGTTTTGGCATATCATAATTGATTATTCATAGAAAGTGGCTACTAGTTTTGTGCTTTCCTTATTCATTATGCTATCAGATAAATGTAGGTGAGCTTTATTCTTTTCTGTTTCTCTGTCTCACCCCTTTTTGTTTGTCATAATTGTGACAATTGAGAATTTTTCATCTTGGCAGCTGACTTACCCTTTTGAGCATCTCTTGTCTGTGAACTTCATCGATTAACTACTTCTTTTTCGGATTCCGATTGGCTAATAATCCAATTCAATGTAACTACCCTTTACAGGATATGTGCAGAAGATTACTGCTCGGAAGGACATTGAAGTAATGGAGAACTTGGACAACGGAAAGCCACCATGAGATCGATCATCGTGTTTCTTTTAGGTTCAGACTTCAGAGTATACTTCCCATGAATTCTGGTTTTCGTACAGAACTATATAGAGATTGACAAGCATATCTTGACATGGAGAATATAGGGCAAAAAGTGATGGGCAAAGGGCTTCAAATTTGTTAACCTTTTTGAAAAGGAATCTATTCTTTCCGTTGAGCTTCTTCAACCACAGCTTTCTTTTTCCATATGTACATCTCTTGAAGAGGTTCCTCGCAGGTTGATCTCAGGAATAAAAGAAAGCCCTCTTTACTTTATTCTTTGCTTTCCACCTTCCTTTATAAATATGCATGGAGTTCATACATTAGAATTGCACTTAACATCTTCTCCATCTTAGAACTTCTATTGCTGCAAAAAATCCTATGTCGAACGTAAGCTTTCTGGAGTTTCAGTACAAGCTCTCTAACAACAAGTTCCTCCGGAAACCTTCTCGGATGTTCTCCTCGCACAGCAGGCAGAACTCAAGCAGCAGTGTACCAATAAGGTTGCAGCCAAATGTGAAGGAGATGAGACAAGTGTTCAACAAATTCGATTCCAATGGAGATGGCAAGATCTCTCAGCAGGAGTACAAGGCCGTGCTGAGGGCTCTAGGGCAGCAGTCCATGATTCCCGACGTGCCCAAGATCTTCAAGGTGGCCGACCTGGATGGAGATGGGTTTATCGATTTCAACGAGTTTGTTGAAGCTCAGAGGAAGGAAGGAGGCGTTCAAACGATGGATTTGCAGAGTGCCTTCAGGACGTTTGACGCAAATGGAGATGGGAGGATAAGTGCAGAAGAAGTCATGGGAGTTCTGAGGCAGCTCGGGGACCGTTGCAGCCTCGAGGACTGTCGGAGGATGGTTAGGGCAGTGGACAACGACGGAGATGGGCTGGTTAACATGGATGAGTTCACCACTATGATGACTCGTACCCTCGTGCGTAATAACTGACCATAGCTGTGGGTTTGTTGTGCGAATCTTTGCTTAGTGTTCTTCTGATGGCCTCTGAAATCTAAACTTGTTTCATTAGAGTTGTTTTCTTCTTTATCAGTTCTCCTTGTATCTTCAGTGATATCTCATGTACAAAACGCTTGTCAGCACGTATACCGGCTTTGCATTCTATGCAGGTCGCATCAGGTATTTCGTTTAAAAAACAGGTGAGGAAATGTTGGTACTAATAAGAACATATATCGACATAATCGTGAAACGTGATTTGCAGAAAACACTTGCAAATCAATAAGTGGAACGGGATGAAGTGACAATATACATGATCATAGGCAGCAGAAGTAGTCGTTCAGACCATGAGCAGCTCGAGCAATTTTATAAACAAGGTCCCAGTAAACAGAACAAAGTGAATAAACTAGGTAGCTACAATGTTCTCAGGAATCTTGTTTCAGTAATCACCACTCACCAGTAATCTCCACAAGAGCACTTGCCATCCCTGAAGTGATGAAACCTCTTGTTATCCCTAACGATCAACTCCCTCCCCACAATCCTGGACATAATCTTGATGGCATTGTGACAGTCGCCGCATATCCGGAGGTTCTTTATGATCCTTAGTGTCGTCCTCGCAGGAGTGCTGATCAGTCCATAAGCAATCGCCAGCCTCTCACTATGGTACAATAAAGCTTGCTCTTTTGCCTCTTGATCAATGTCATGGAGAACATATCTGGTGTCTGGGACATAACCCGAGTTCTTCAACTCCATCATTTCCTTGAGTTTTGGATCATCCTTGTAGAGAGCAGGATAACGGTACTCTGCTATTCTACTCTTCCCTTCCAGCATGCTGACTGCAGTACGCTTCACTGGAGGTGGCGTAGGAATCTTTTTAGCCACTGCCTTAGAGGGATCCACGGAAACAATCAGTTCTTCGAGGCGATCTTCAAGATCCACATCTCCGTGGATTCGAGCATAGTTCATGTACTTCTCCCAGATTTCCACAGAGGGATCAAATGGCAGTTTCTCAATGTACTGTTCAATTTCGTTGAGAAAACCACATTTCCCAAGCACATCAATCATTCCAACATAGTGTTTCATTTGTGGATCGATCCCAAAATCGCTCTTCATCAACTTGAAATGGATGAATGCCTCATCCACGGCATCTGCACTGCCACAAGCTGATAGAACAGCGAGGAACGTTTCTTCCGTGGGTTTGAGATCTAGCTTCCTCATCTGCTCAAACAGCTGCAAACCTTCATCCCCCAAGTTGTTGTTTGCATAACCATGGATCATCAAGTGCCAGGTATCCATGTTTCTTTCCGGCATGTGATCAAACACCCTACGAGCATCAGTCATACTCTCGCATCTGCCATACATCTCAATCACCTTATTGTTCAACATCAGATCACCCCTGCAAGTCGATTGCAGAAGGTAGTCATGCACTTTCTTGGCATCCTCGAGTTTGCTACACAACCCAAATAGAGAATCGAAGCAAGCGTAATCAGCTCTAAGGCCTTTATCCATCAACTCGATTGCTTCCTTGACCTTCCCTTCACCGCACAAATTCAACAAATCAGCTAACGAAGGCACTGGATCAGAATTAACAGGTTCAGCAACGAAATATCCCGGTCGAGGGTGCTGCACTTGGACTTGGTTATTCCACTGATTCGGAACTCCCCGTTGCCCATAGTTCTGGACATTACCGTTCACCTGTGGGGCATTATGATGCTGAGGACCGCTCTGACCACCTGGAGAATTCCAATGAACAGGGCCCCCTTGAGGAGGCGGATGCTGCTGCTGCTGCTGCTGCTGCTGATTGAAACCACGATTAGGGTATCCCTGATCAGGATTGGGAAAATTACCCTGCTCTCCTCCCATATGTGGCGGAGGGTTCTGCTGTGGGTGGTGCCACTGGTTATGGTTTCCTTGCTGTCGCTGCGGCGAATTGAACTGCTGCGGAGGGTTCTGCTGAGGATGGTGCCACTGGTTATCGTGTCCTCGCTGTTGCGGCGGCGAATTGAACTGCTGAGGCGGAGGAGGTACTCTATTATCCCAGCGGGGCACCTGATCAGTATGCCTCTCGCCATGGAAACCCCTAGGCTCGGAGTGAGACGGTGGCGGGCGGTGGAACTCATTGGGGACGGCCGAAGTAGTGCTGAGGGTTCTGGCCGCAGCTAGGGTTCTAACGAAGGGAGAGTGAGAGAGGTGTGGAAATAACAACCGCACCTTGATGACTGAAGACGAAGAAGAGAGCGTCGCTCGCGAGCCGCGCATCGCCGTGAGAGACGCCATTTTTTTGCTGGACGGAGATTGAAATTAAAAACCCTAGTTAAACCCTGGAATGGGGAGGCAGAAGCCAACACAGTATACGGTGTGACCGAGGTTGAAGAGAAAGACGACGAAGTGGAAGTAGGACAAAGGACTACGGGCGGAGGAAATAGGTAGTAACGACGGCGCCGGCGAGCGGCTGATGTTCGGCGTTGTCGAAGAGAGAAGATCGCCGGAGTCGGGAGTGGAGAGAGTGAGGACGATAATGGAGCAAGTCTGTCTGCTTCGCCCTAACTAAGGAAGCAGGGGCGAGAGACCGGAACGACGCCGTATTATTTTATTTAACGGCGTGAGTGGTGAAATGATTCGTTTGGACGGAAAAAAATTATAACGCCGTTGCCGGGGATCGAACCCGGGTCACCCGCGTGACAGGCGGGAATACTTACCACTATACTACAACGACTGTTAGTGATAAAAAAATGGTAATAGGTCATTATTGAAAATAACAATTCACAAATTACGTTGCAAAACCGTGCAAGCTGTACCTGAAGAAATTTTGGGTCACCAGCTAGTATGGAAGTTTTTGACTTGCAGCGTGTTGATAGATGAATATGTGAAATTTATTCTTCCAAACTCGTATATAAAAGCGAAATAGAGTAGTCAGTAAGCCAATACTACGATGCAACCATAAAAAAACCGGTGTAAGTGCAACCAAAGATAATAGGTCAGAGCTTATATATTGTTCAAGATTTGATCTCATTCACCTGAATATGTTCAAAAAGAGAGAGATCAATCTTCCCTTTAGTTTCTGTCTCATTCCCATAATATGCACATACTCCACACTATTACCAATCAAACACACGGATCAATCTTCCCTACAGCTTTATGTACAATGACAGACACATTCCAGGCCGTTTACATCGCAATTCCAGAAGAATCAATGCTCGAATCCTGTAGTTTAAACCGAAACCGAAAGAAAGAATAACAGACTGCCAAGCATTCAAAATAATAATTACATTCATTGGTTAACCGGATAAATGAACACCCTCCTGTGCAACAAGCACGAATTTATCTACAACGAATGAACAAGAGTTGCTATGGTTGCCGCAAAAGGATGCGCAGGTAGAGATGGTTTATATACATCTGTACACCTGAAAACCGGGGTGCGGGAACTTGAACTGACAGATATTCTCAAGCTACGAAACCATTTGCGGCTTCTTCAGAAAAGCTTGGATGTTAATACGAAACTTAGTTGAGAGATCTCTGCGTTCCAATTCACTTTTGATTTTTTCTCTCAGGATGTCACCCGAGATCCCACCATCGATTATATTACGAGGGCAGGCACATCATAGTGGCTTATCATTTGGCCTTCAATCTCTGTTGTGTGTCTGAGTTGGTCCTAGATATTTCTCCATTGATTCTTTCTTGTGCTCAGGGTCGAGGCTGCAGGAAACCTCAGTAGAGTTAATTACCCAGAGTTTTTAAGCAAAATCAAGACAAGAGAGATGAGATTTTTTAAAAGAGAAGTGAAGAGGGTGTACTTGTAGAGCTCTCACCTATTTCTAAGGCCGAGAAGAGCAGAATGCGCAGCACTTGCACAAGCAGAGACAGGAGCTATAGCAGCAGCAGGAATTCCCCGTACTGCAGTGGCCAAGGCAGACCCAGCACTGGCCCCGTATTGGTATTTTTTCAACGGTGTCCGAACTAATGCAGAAGCCGATTTCCCCAGGCCATCACTTAGGTTCGAATATGCCTGTGAATAAATATTAGAAAGATCAGAACCTTTATAGCTGTAATGAGGATAGCCTTCTTCAGTATTGAAATGCAGAAAGTTCTACTACTACAACCCTCACCTGTTGCATTCCTTCCTGGGCATCTTTTGGCTGATTGCTTCGTACATTCGACTTCTTTTTACCCTGTGCGGTGGAAGACGATGACGATACCTGACGAGAAGGAACAGCCGTGAGGATGTACTCGGCTTGGAGTAAGATATCATGGGCTCCTGCAGCCAAATGCACTCCAAGTCCAACAGCTTCAAGCGATATACTTCTAAGAAATGCA